ATAGTTTGAGGACCTCTGTTCTAGATGCTGGTGAAAGTGGAGTAGTACATTCTCTGCTTCATAAATGTTTTAAATGTGTATCAGGCATTAATGCTTTCACGGCCACCCTTGGTTCATTTCAGACATCACTAATCAATGGGGACAGTCATGACCAGGGAGTTTTGACATGACCTCAGAATCTTTTTCAACCAGCATTCTAAGAGTCATGACTAATCACATTGAATTGGACTGTGGCCTGAAAACTATTCACCAACCTTCGAGTACATTATTGGCATCATGGTGATGCCAATACTGATCGGTAGTCATGCTTGTCAATGTCTTCTTCCATAGTAGCTGGCACAGCAGCCACAGTCTCGTTTGCGCCGAGACTAGTTTAAATTATGTCTCTGAAGACCCTTCTAGCAATTTGTCACATCCAAAAGCTCCGCTTGCATGGGTCCATCTGAAAAGATAAAGATGGTTTTGTCCTGAATCCTGCCAATTGACCAAGATAGTGGTCATACAGGGGTGTGCTGCCAGGGTCCACGATGGCCACTCTTTCGTGAGTGTCAGCTGGGTGGGTGTCAGACATGGAGCCAGGCACTTTACACCCACCATCTTCCTGGCTCCCCACCCCACCCCCACCCCACCCCGCTCCTGCCAACCTGGCAGGTAGGTATTATTATGTCCATTTTCCAGATGAGCCAACTGAGGCTCCGAGGAGTGATCACAGAGCTGATAAGTGGCAGACTCTGTCCTGCCAGGTGGCCTGTTGCCATTGTCATCTCAGTATCATACGCCGTCAACCCTGAAGCAGGGCCCCCTCAGAGCGAGCAGTGCTCCCCTAGAACGTGGACTTGCAGTCATGTCCCAGGGTGGCCCTGACGTTCTCGGGAAAAGACTTAGATGCGTTGGCTTTGTTTAAAGGCACGTGAGCATCCTCGACAGCATGGTGAGCAAGCTGGAAGTGTATGCCAATCACCTGGAGGAGGTGGTGGAGGAGAGGACCCACCAGCTGATGGCAGAGAAGAGGAAGGTGGAAAAACTTCTGGCCAGAATGTTGCCCAGGTATTCCAAAGCACGGTGGGAATTCAGGGCGCAAAAACATCACTGTCTAAGATGCCCAACACAACTCCCTGCCATTCAGTTGATTCTGACTCACTATAGGAGTAGAAAGCCCCATCTTTTTCCTGGGGAGCAGCTGGTGGTTTTGAACAGCTGGCCTTTCAGTTATCAGCTCAATTTGTAACCACTATGCTGCCACAGCTCCTTTGATGTCTCACAAGGAGGGATTATAGGAGATGGTGGCTGTAGCAACATAAGAAATACCAGTAGAGGGAGCTCTAGTTCCGTGAGTCTGAGGAATCTTTAACACACACTCCCCGC